TAGGACTTATCACTTGTTTGTTGACCAAGCAATATTACAACCTTGAAAAGCCCTTGTGATTCTTGCAATTGTATTTTCAATAAGTTTTTGGATGAATGCATAATTTAGTCTTTTGTTTGCGAGTTTGTGGATGAGTGTTTTTTTTTGTCCCTCACCTTTGTGTGTTCTTCATCTACCGATGAATTTTTTATAGATGTGATTCATGATTGAGCTTTTTTTTGTTTTAGAATGTTTTATATGATTTTTGTACTTAAGATTCGTTTCGTTTATATGCTGTCGTTGTAGGATAATGGTAAGTATGTATTTTGCGTGTATGTTTTGTTTGAACCATACATTTGCTTTCTGTTTTAAAACTTGTTGATTCGTGATTATTTGATTATTACTCTTTGTTTCTTTGAGTTATTTGACTTTTTTTAAGGACAAACAATGTGTCAAGTTGGGGAGAGTTGATAAATGTCAAAATATAGTTATTTTGTATATATGTTTTGTGGCACTTATCTGTTCTTTTGTTGTTAATATCGGTTGAATAGCCCCACTTTTGTGTAAATACATTTTATTGCGTTTTGTGTACATATTGTACTGTTTGATTAGTTTTGTATATATTTTGTAGGTATTTGTCGCATTATTGGAGCATTTAGAATAAAGTTCAAATGGAGCTCCAAGATGCATCTTTGATCAATAAAGGAATAAGGCAAAAAGAAGAAGTCATAGAAGTTATGCATGAAAAGCAACAAAAGTTGTTGGACTGTCATGGATCGTCGGGCGATGGCCAGGCGAGGGCCATTAGGGCCATCACGTATGTGTCGCCGAGCGAAGGTAGATATTTGTTACAAGTTAAGGACATGGCTCACTCTGGGCCATGTTTATAAGGTCATCGTCGGGTGACGCTTTTTGGGCGTCGGACGATGCTGCGGAAACATAATTTTGTTTATATTTCCATTTCATTTAATTTGTTGAGTTATGTTTTTTAGGGGTGAGGTTTTGCTCCCAAATTCCATCAAGCATATAGTTTTTGATAGATTAGCTTAGAAAACAACACTAGGGCTTGCTTATGGATGATTGGATGTGGATTGCTCTTCGATTGACGTTGATAAACCAGTGTATATTTGTTGTTTATCTTTTCTCCTCTCTATGTATTTCTCTATTTGTTGGGTTTGTATGTATATTTACCTTGAACTCATGTATATTTGTATCCCTTGGCATTGTATAAAGTTTGCTTTACGAATCTGTTTTGGTGATTATCTTTGGTTTTTACTCTGTGTTAGGGATTTGAGCTTTGTTAGACATAGATTGTTTAGATTCTTACCTAGGATGGTTATCTGTTAGTTTCTGAATGCTAGAAATGGGTTTAGAGCTGACATTCACTTAGGGTATCTGATCTTAATGCCTTTGTGTCAGGAGAGTCGGGCTAAACATAGTGGATGCGAGTGATGCGGTTGAATTCTCAATGTGGGTTAGAAGTAGCTTGGGTTGTGAGAGGTATGTGATGACACGGACGAGTATAGTAGATAGAGGATAACTGGACGATAGATTTAAGTCTGTGACGAGTAGTGTGCATTCATTTCAGACAAGTTGTTTATCCTTTATAGTTTTTGTTCATTTACTTTTTGTCTTTTCTTTTCAACCATTTAACCTCAAACTCATTAATGATAGAATTGTCAAACGACGAATCAATAACCAATCTCCGTGGCCACAATACAATATAACCTAACCGATATATATCACCCGGTAAAAATAAATACTTTACTTTTTGCTTGCCTGCTATACCAACATTTGAACAGTCCACTTGGCTCTACTGGTAAATTATCTTTAATTTCATCCTACGAGCATTCATAAATACTATCTCATAGGACTCAAGAAATGAAGAATAACACACTTCACAATAATGTATAAGCTAGTAGCTTAAATGTTTGAGCCACGTAGAACAATAGGAGCTACATATTTATCACGTCGAAGTCTTGACAAACCTATAGCCCAACTAGTGTTTTAAATGTATTTGATGATCTACAACCCTATGCCCATCAAGAAAAGGTTTTACAGAAGTTTATGCTACCTTCTATATGATCATGTCCAAAAAGGTGGTTTACAAAATTTATCTGCCACCTTCTCGTTGGACTAAGTCTAGCAAGGCGGTATCCAGAGTTTTCCTACCTTATGTCTAATGAGACTTACTCTTCTATGTTTCTAACTACGTAATGAATAAGTTAGGAAATCCCATTTTTCACTCCCTTAATTATATTATCTCGGAATTGGGGTGTTTCGGTTAATACCGAAGTTATTCCTATCTAACTTTAAAATAGCTCCCAAATTACAAATTATATGATAAAATTATGAAACTTTCCAGTAAGAAAGTACCACAAATAATCTTTTAAACCCAATTTGTTTCATCTGAATCCAATTTTTATATCCTTGGTTACAACTATTTCAAATCAGCCATGTCATATAAGTTTCTGCATAAATTCAAAGACAAAATATCTAACTTTAAAATAGCGCCAAAATTACAAATCACATGATAAAATTATGAAACTTTCTAGTATAAAACTACCACAAATCATATTTCTAACTCAATTGGTTTCATCTCAATCCGAGTTTTCTAGCCTTAGTTACAACTATTTAAATTCAACCACGTCACAACATTTTATGCATAACTCCTAAGGCAAAATATCTAAGTTCACAATAGTACCATAAATTCAACTCACATGGTAAAATTATGAAACTTTACAGTATCATTAATACATGAGTTATATTTATAACATAATTTATACCATCCATTTCCAAGTTTCCAATAAGTACGGTTTATCATAAAAGGCCACACATGTTGCAAAAACAGACGACAATTTTTATCTAACTTGTAACCTATTTTTAGGTTTCAATTATTTGTAAATTGTGATCAAATTTATGTTCAAATATAAGGTAATTGACTCTAGTTTCTAGAAATGAAACACAAATTTAAAAATGATACATATAGAAAAAGTTATGACTAAATACTACATCTATGTCCTTCAAAAATCATACTGACAGCAACATAATTCAACATCATTTTCATGTCTTACAAGCTCAAATACCAATCATTCATACACCAACGCCTACAAACATCATTGATCATACACATTTCGCATATAAGTCAAGGTTCATAGCAACAATTCATTGAGATATCATCATGGTATAAATATAAAACATTCAAGCATATGAACTACAAACCTTATCCTCAATGTATAAAATACTTAATCCACTAAACCCCACATCATATCTAATGGACTCACCTTTAAGAAAAAATTCTAAATTTGATGATGGATATGAAGCAAAGATGACGATGATTCTCTTGGACGATGAAGATTTCTGCAAGCTTCAATGATGGTGGACTTGGAATTTTTCTCCCTTTATCTCTTAATGTTTTCCCTTGTCTCTATATGCCACTCTTTTATTTTACAATTCTAAGTTTTTGAGATATGATTTAAGGTAGAAGTGGAAAATGAGAGAGTATGGAATGATTTAGGTTTATATAAAGCATACTCCAATTACCAAAATACCCTCATCACTTAACCATAATTCCTAATCCATGTCACTTCTAGATTAACTGTTAGATTAAGACTTAACCCTTATTTAATAATCATGCTATATTCATTTAACCAAGTCATTAACTTCCCAATTATACCACTTTCCATATAATCAAGACAATTAACATATTAACCAAGGCCGTTTCTTGCTAACCTTCTCTTTAATCACACTAATATTCCATTTTTATGTTGACCGTTTAATGTATAGAAAGTTGGGGGTATTACACAAATTTTGAATTGCATTCATCCATGGCCATACCATTGCAAAATTACATCATTACATGAGTAAATTTTATCATTTTACATTGTCGTTACATATCATCATCGTTCATGTGAAATTACACAACTTTGCATTACAATTGAAAGAAAAATAAAAATTGAACTTCGTTCATGATTCAACATTACATGCACATATATCACGACATTACAATCGTCAATTTGGTTACACAGTTTCTACACCAATCCCACAAAATCATAAACAAATTCACTCACACACCATCACACATACCTCACCCTCTAACTTACATAGGTTATATCAACAAATATCTCAAATCTCACACACTTTGAATCCTCACACACTCACTTATTTCAAACCTAGAGCTCACGTATAAAGCCTAATTATTTTTACTAAATCAGCAACCAAGAACACACAAATTTGAGAGAGAAAAATGAATCACTAAGCTACCTTCATTATTTCTAAATTTGAGAACCAAGTATCTTTGCATTTGTGTGAAGCTCTTCTAGTTCATGAAGAGATTCTAGTACCTGCATTGAGTAGAATTTGCATACGACTCCATTAATACCCCATCATTGAGCCCTTAAAATCACACAATCCAATCGCACCAGCCACACAAATTCAAGAATAATTTCAGAGGGATAAATTATGAGTTGAGAAGAAGAAGTAGCAAAGGAAGATAAAGTTAAGAAAAATCATGATTACTTGGAAGTTTTACCTCACTGAAAGTTGAAGTTCTTCGTCGGAGAAACTCTTGCTTTGATTTGGTACTTCCCTTATGTTTCAATGCATTATCTTCACCTTTTCTTGGTTCTGCGTATATGTCGAGCATTTCCCCAAAACTAATTGTTGTGAACTGTTGTTAATTCGACCATATTAGATGATTTGATAAGTTAGATTTTATGTTTAATTTGGTGTGTTTTGTTGTTTGTTTGTAAGTTTGGGCTTTGGATTCATATTCAAAAGCTGATTTGTAATAAGTTTTATGTTGATTATTTCTAGATTTGAGGACGTTGTCATGAATTCTAGGTTTGGACACTCATGGTGTTCTTGAGGATATTCATAGATTTTTGGAAAAAAGGTGTTTGATCTTAGAAACACTAGTGCAGAAAAGACTTTTTACATCAGGAAAAAAACACTTTTTACATCGGTTTAGGGTCCGATGTAAAGTCAAGTGAGATGGGAAGTCTGACTGAGATGCCGGAGACTCAGAGCCTGATGTTCCCTCGCCGAGAGGCATCATATGGTTTTGGTATGTGAGCAGCACTCGTAAAGTAAAGTCTACAGTCAAGGCAAGCCCTGCTGAGCAGCCCAACCCTCTTAGAGCAAAGGATAGGGCTCGACCGCCCAGAGAGAACCCAACCTTTGAAAGTAAGGCATGAAAGAAATCCAATTCCTTGAATTGCTGACAAATAAGATAGAAAATACCTAAAAAGGTAGAAATAAATAGAAACTAAGATTGAAGAAAAGGAGTCAAACTCAAGCTCGAACTTATAAAGATAGGCGGATTAAAAGTAGTTAAAGCCCCGCCATGCTTTCGCGTATTTAGGGCCTAACTTTGTAAAGCGTTTTAATGTTGGAATTTGTGTTTCATATGAGGCAAAATAAACATGGGGGGCCGTTTTCTTAGGCAGTTGTTGATTGAGGAAAAACCGTCAGCTCTGTCTTTGCTATTTCGACGGTTTCCTACAACGAAAAGAGACTGGATCTTCAATATAAGTCTTTCTTATGAAAGAATAGGGCAGCATTTGTTTGTGGCTCCCTCACACCACTGCTGGTGACCTTGCAAACTCTAAGGTCCTTTAGGCTGTTGGGTTAGTAAGAACAAGATAGTGGGATTTCCCGTGTAATTTCGACACCTTGGACTTTAGCATCTTTACTTAGGGATACCCTTGGTAAATCATCTTTCTTTTCCCTGCGAGAATAACTCTTCTTCAACTACCGAAGCTTGCAGGTGTGTAGCTGCACCGAGCTTTCTATTTTGAATTCGGGTTCCCACGGTATTGATGAGAGCCTTTTTTCCTCGGATCATGTTGTCTGACGTCCTTCCTGATGAGACCTTTTTCAAAGTCCCTTGTTTTAATTCGACGAAGAGCTTCTTTATCTTACGCAATTTCGAGATCAGGATATTGAAGAATACCTTCGACGTGTAGCTAAGTAGCTTCAGATTCCTTTTCCTTGGTTGTTGATCAAGGTAGAGTCTTCACAGGTGATCAAGTAAAAGAGTTTGCTAATATATCTAGTTTTTGTTGAAATGATTCACTCAACACCTTTGCTCAGGCTAATGGACAAGCCGAGTCTTCCAAAAAAATAAGGTGAACTAGCTTATAAAAAATGATAAAGGATAACCCAAGCAAGGATCTGGCATGAAGTGTAGTCAGAGGCTCTCTAGGCATGTCGGACAAAAAGACCGAGTTTCCATTAGGAGGTGGGACAAGAAGCTTAACCATACTTGGGTTTGGAAAGACTTCTTCTCGACACGTTCAAGCTTTTCCGGGAGGATCTTTTTTAAATATTTTATTCCCAGGTTAAAGACTGGGGCGGGTTTAACTAAATATCCTGACCCCTGACCCATAGTCTTCATGGATCTGATCTTTCCTGCTATTCCTAAGGAAAGGATAGTATTCAAGGCGATCAGAGTCAGCATCGGCATAAGGGAATAAAAAGTGGCAAGGATCATTCCATTCTTCCTCGGCAAGAGCACCCGAATCCGAATTTTGTTTTTGGCCTTGTCAGTATCCCTTTGTGAGTCTTCTGCTGAAGACTTTCTCCTTAGTAGTCTCCCAATGGCCCTTGACCGGTGTGGCTAAGCCAATACATAATCACCATAAATTAGTGACGAGGGTCTCTGCGGCTAAGAATAGAAGGTGGTGTACTAGTTCTCAGTAAGTATTGGAAGAATCCATTGAAATGTTCATCCAAAGAGGGATTTTAGTTAGTGAAAAAAGACCTTCTTTTTCTTGTTACCTCCTGCCCGCAGCCATGCACTTAATAAATAAATATCATAGGAGTATTAGCGCTAAGCGAAGCATCAAAGCAGAAGGAGCTTGACACCATTGAATCAAGTGTTGAAAGACTACGTATGAAAATAGAATCCCCAGATGATAGGGGCCCGGGAACTGAACGATGTTAGCGCAAGGGGCTTAAATTAAAAGGCAGGTAGCATTCAATAAGCAGGCAGGTTTGGGAAACTAGCACCAGGTACTAGGTTGATGGCATGCAGAATACTCCTCATCGGTGGTAAACCATGGGAAAAGCATCACCAACCAGCTCCTTCAAATATTTTAATAGTATCTGAATGAAGAAGAATGTCGAGAGAATAGTTAAATGCGGGCGAATAGCGTAGGAAGTAACCAAGTTTGAATGGTGGAAATCCAGCAAGGGAAAAAGCATTAGTTTCAGCGAAGCTATTCTTTACCCCTTAAGCGTCAGAGAAAAGTACTTTCAGGCAAGGTCGGCTAGCGAACCCCGCTACTCCTTTGTCTTTTAGGAAGGGAAGTCTGAGTCAAAGTCATTGTGAATCCTCAGTTTAAAGGCGATTCACCTTCACCCAGCATCTTTTAAAGTTTTAGTCTGATTATTTCTCATCTGCCTGCGGCTCTGGCCGGCCCATCTTCCTCCATGTCCTCATCCGAGGTTCAAGCAATTGGTCATCATTCCTGGCCTGGACGGCTGGCCGAGGTCGAGTTCCTCCCTTATTTATAATCTATACAGCTTTCTTCGTCTCTATTATTTGATTTATCAATAGCCAAAAACTTGACTTTCAGGTCTGCGAGAGGTCAATGTACTAGAGCTCATGCCCAAAGAGGGGCTTTCTTTTCTCTTGCATGTGACTTCCCTTCCTCCCTCATTCATGAAAATCAAAGGAAGCTTCATCGAGAAGGGATAGGGATGGCGCATTGGCTTGGTTGGCGGCTTGGCTTCGCTATCGCTCATGACTTGGTATAGAGTTCGTGTAGTCGGTGAGTACGAGTACAACCTATGAAACAGGCTTTGAGTTCCATTACATTGCCAAAATGAATTCCCGCCACTCTCCCTTCCAGTGAACCCCACGTGTCTGCCTCCGGCTTCGAAGCAGTGGGGAAGAAAAGGACTCGGCTTAACTTCACTTGGGTTCGGTTTACCTTGTTACTATTGGAATGATGGAAGTAGCTCTTCTTCCTCTTTGCGTTAGCGACTCTGAGCTCATAGGGAGCTTGGAATTAGCTTGGTTAGCTGGAGAAGGGATAGAGTTGAAAGACCGGATTTTTTTAGCGTGCCTTATGCCTGTCCTTTCCTGACTCTGTTGATGGTATGTCTGAGATGGCAGTCTTTCTCCTTGGCTTGTACTCGAGATTCCCTTTTTGTTCGAAATCGATATCTTCGCCTTTGAGAAAGGGAACGAAGGAATTCCGTCTGTTGTCACAAGAATTGTTCAAGTTGAATGCAAATAATCGATTGAATTCGATCTTTGAAGACTTGAAGGACTAGTGTCCAATCCCAGCCGATGTAGAGTAGTCCCTTTTGGGCAGCACTTCCTCGTAGGGAACTACCTATTGTCCTTCTTTCTTGTGGTGGAACCTGGGATTAACCCTCCCAGAAGTTATTATCGCCAAAACAAAAAAAGACATCTTGAATTTCCCACAAGAGTAAAACTATAATAGTATCCGACTAATATGGTGGCGGGGGTTGCGTTCCTCTCTCTTTTTGCTGGATGGGGAGTGCATCGTTCAGATATGTCCCTGGACCTCCTGGCTTCCCTGTCACGTCCGAACGTAATCAGAGAAGACCTGCCCAAGCACCGCACCACCTTGTGATCATAAAGAAGAATATCCAATACAATCACAGGAAAGAGTACCCGAAAAAAAACGTAACGTATCAGGGTCGTATGCCTGGAACATTCGTACAATTTCGACGATTTAAAAAGGAGTATATCCCTCTCCCTTAGTGTCTTTCCACTTCCCTCGTTCAGGAACAGACCCTTCGCCTAATTCTTTTGAGTCCCGGCCTGGTTTTTCTCCATTAACCAATTACGTTACGACCACTGAAGAAACTTGGTTGACGAACATGGTTTATGTGCCGCTAATGTAGCGGCTTGTCGAGCATTTGACAAACTCACACTTTTTTTACTATATGAAATCCACACTTTGACACCTGAGATTCCGTAACGAGTAGATACTTCCGCAAAAGCATAATCGATTTTCTGGTTAAATACATTATGAGATGTTTTTCCATACTTTCCGCATTCAGTTCTAGCTATTTCTGCGCCTTCTGATCGACCTGAACAACATATACGGATCCCCTCAACCCCTTTTTTCATTACTAATGGAATATCCTTAACTATTCTACTAAAAATGGAACGAAATGATCTTGTTTTCTTTCTCAGTTGAAAAGAGATGTCTTGAGCAATCAGAGAAGCACTTTGATAAACAGATTTGATCTTGACCGACTCAATTAAGGTATTAGTGTTTGTTCTATTAGACAACAAAGATCGCATTTTTTCACTTCGTTCAAATAAGAGTTGTACCCGTACGGAATTTTTCTGTTTCTCAATATGATCTCTATCATTATCTCTATTCCCTTTATCCATTCTCCTATCCTACCTAGGTCTATGAATTTATCTATCAATTCCATTACCTTATCCTTACCCATGAGGTTCCAACATTTGATCCTTAATTGACCTAGGAGTGGTTCCCGGGCATCCTCAAAAAAAAGGTTATTATAAATCCCAACTCTATCCCTTGGAAAGAAAAAGGTAGCACCGAAGAAAGGAAAAAGCGAGATGGTGGTTTTTGTTGTTCCCGCGAAGCGAAGATCATTCGCCAAGCGAATTAAGTGGGTCAACCTCTTTTTGGCTTCGGCCAAACACTTTTTCTCGCTGGTCGAGCTTTCTACAAAAAAAGCGATGCGAGAACGTATTCTCTTATCTAAGCTTCTTCCATGCGCATTCGCTCCCCCATCGTAGATGGTTCAGCCACGCCTGGTGCCACGAAATGACTGAGAACTACGACGGGGTCGAAATGCATTTGGTTCTTTCTACAAAAAAAGTATTGCATGACCGAATAATTCAAGGAGGGGCGCACTGCAGGGAGGGTCCTTTGAAATAGATGACTCGTCGGGCCGTCGGAGCGGGACTTCTTGGGGAAAAAGAACTTAAAAACTCCGTTTTTCTGAAGGAGTCGTAATTTTCTATTAGGAATGCTATGTCATTTACAGCCCCGACGTATTTCGAATGCTTGAAGGCCCCGCTGACCCAAAGTGATTTAGAAAGATTCTTCTTTATCGATGGTGATCGGTCATGGTATCCATAGCGTTGCTTCTTTTTCGGCCAAATCCTAATTTCGTTTTGCTTCTCCCGGTCGTCGAGCCTGATCGACTCGACTCTTTTCCCTGCCCTACGGCCTCTCACTTCGTTTCGTTCTTCTTCTTTCTTGTTGCTGGAATGAAGACACCCGATCGGCCCGACTTTCCCAAATGCCCACCACCGGCCCTTCTCCTTTCCGGGTCTGGATTTATCGCGTCGTTTCAGTCGTTGTGGTCGACGGGGAAGAAAGAAATGAATGAATGTTCTTTTGGGAAAATGTATAAGAATACACCTACCGAGACGAAAGCCAAAGGTTAGTCTCGCCGGTGGACGTATCGAACCGAAATAAGATCTCAGATTGACATCTTAATAAACTAATTTACCATAATAATAAATAGAGTCAATGGTGACTCCGCCGTGGGAATAACCGCTTCTTTCTTGCTTGATAGAGGGGCTTCCATTCACCAACGCTGACAAAAAGTGCTCTCCGAACCGTGATGGATAGTCACCCATCACACGGCTCTCAAACCCAACCTGTGGTGAATCCCAAGAGACAATGTCAAAGCGCTTGATCCTTTGCCCCATACTTTGAGATGCTTCTCCCCTCCGATCAAGCAGCGACACTGCTCGTGATAGGCTTAGCTTTAATCCGCTATCATTCGGTTCGAATAAGTAAAGTCCCCTCGGTCGGTTTGCTCAGGTGGTCTTCCTTTATCTTCTCTTCTCTAACATTCAGAGTTGTTCTGGTTTAAAAAAGGAGCACCGGCCGAACACCCTGAATGAATAATAAATGGACAGCAAAGGGAATCAATGATTCTTATTCAATCGAGTTGAAGTTAGCAACATGTCGATTACACACCGGAGGTTGGTAAGAACTGAGGGACAATGCCCCCCTAACCTAAGTGGGCCTACCAGTGAAACAACTGGTACTGGATCGGGGGTAGGGGGTTGGTTTCATGCAAGGCCTTCGCATCAGGAAGAGGCAGTTCTCATTTGAAGGGAAAGGCCCTTTGTGTAGGGTTCCCTACGCACCCTGATTCAACATTTCTATGTTCTTAGTCAAGCCTAAACTTATTGAAAACTAAAGCGCTAACACTATAATAATTATAAAAATAGAAACCTTTCGCCTTATAAACTAAAATAAAACAAGTTTACTTACTTACTATAAAAAAAGAAGAAAGCGGCAACAAGCACCTTCTTTCTCAAAGTAAACTTTCTCGCTTCTTGCTTTAGAAAGATTGCAGCGTTAGCGCTTCTTGACTAAGAACATCATAGAAAGTCAAGGCTCCTCTCCTTTTCTATGAATCTACAACTCTCTTTACTGAGCGAGACTCCATCCATATCCCTACTGGTGGTTATATTAAATATTTTTTATTTTATCATTTGTTTGACAGCCTAAACTAGGCTCCATTTTAGATAGGTTTTCGGTCTTAATAAAAAAAATAGGTCAGGGGCGCGTTGGAACGGTCGGTGGCTGCTTAGTCTCATCCGAGAGTCTAATCTCTTTGTACTTTTTTATTCTTTCTTTTAAAAATAAATAATAAAAATAAGGGGGTCGATTTAGGCTCCTTCCCTTCCACTGCATAGCTGCTCTAGCAGGTACTATGAGCCCTCTGTCCCACGCATCTAACTAGCTCGCGTGGTTCACCGGTTCCACCGAAAACTCTCATTTGTTGAAGCGGAGCATAGTGCGCTTTAGGCGCCGAGCGAGAAAGGTATCTTTCTTCTTTCGTTTTGGTTTATTCACTGATCTGAAACTTAGCACTAGTTTTCTTATTGATTCCAGGGGCGGCGGCATTCTTGAATGAAGTCTATCCGAACCGAATTAGCACTTCTCAGATCAGGCTAGGCCTTTCCAGCTCCGCAGGGCGTTGGGGCCCTGGATGCGCTAGCGATCGGCACATAGGGGGTGCCGGGTTTCTCGGCCTGGTATCTTGCACCTCGCGTTCATGATATCTACATTCAACTGTGCTCCGGAGACACGGTTGAAGCACGCCCGCCCGATGTGCTTCTTTCACGACATGCTCTGGTCCCGGGTCTCTTCCAGTGGTCTTCTAGCGTTAGAAGAAGTCGTGTCCGTCCCGGACATCTGCTACGTCCTCCCATCCCAAGCTTTTTTATTCAACATATATAGGACAAACTGAAGGAAAAGACTGACCCATTCGGTGACTTTCGCGGTCGCCCTCACTGAACCGACTTGAATCTGAACTACGATTCAGATCGAGTCTTACCGAAATCGGATTTCCTTTTCGTGCCATATGCGCCTTATTGTTACTTTCTTTACTTTTTCCCCTTTTTTCTTCCCGATTTAATATTTGTTCTCGAAAGTCTTCGTTTCGCAAACTCTCAAAATTGTTGACCAAGCAAGGTCGCACTGAGACTGTGAGAACACTAACGGAACACTCTCTGACCCCCACTGACCAGCTAGTCTGAACTAGCGACCGACCCGCAAGCTACTCGATTTTTTTTCTTAGCTGCTCTGGATTCGATTCTAGATGCTACTTACTTACATATGATGTTTTCTTTCACAAGGTAGCGCATCTATATAGCATAGCTGAAAGCGGACAAAAAAAGATGTTCCCATAGCGTGACGTAGGCTTAGCCTCTTTCTCTATCTACATTTATATATGATAATCTCACTAGTGGACAACGAACAAAAAGATGCCACACTAAGAAAGCAATCCAATCAGGAACAAGGTAGTTAGGGACATGCGGACTAACTGCTCTAACATTCCTATTTTTTGAAATGAATCTTCGGACCTTCTGCCAGCGCTAACACCATCTGAGCTTGCACTGCCGCTCGAAGAGAGATGCTTGTGAGACCCCCTCATGTTCTATAATTCTAAGGAGGTTCTGAGAATGAAATTCAAACCCCTCGTAACTTACTAGTGAGACGGAAAGCTTAGGGACGCCTCTCGTTCCTCTTCTCCCATTTGACAACCGTATCTCAGAATGTTCGGATGATTCTATGGAACTAATATATGCTTTATTTTTTTTTAAGAATGGGGATATATCGTTGGGAAAAAGCAGAAGAAAAGGATTTAACGGGCAGAAGAAGGGAAGTTTGGAAAAGCCTAGCAGACGGGACTATCAACTCCTTTCTATTACGATCTCGGCACCTTCCTTACCCCCCTACGAAAAATTTACCCCTATTTTGAAGAGGAAAGCTCCCAGGTTCCACATCTTAAAAAAGTGCATGACCAGATTGGAAGAATTCGCAATGGGCCAACTCACCCAGCCATGATGCGCATGACAGAAGAGAGCGAGCACAAAATGGAGTTTCCATCTTGGATGAGGCTCACGTTCGGAAATAATCTTTTTCAAGACTTTCTCCCCTATGTTGAACTTTCTCTATATTACCTGATTTTGGAATGCACTGGAATTATCTGGTAGACTTGGACATGTTCCATGGCGCGAAGTCTCTTCTCATCTAATAGCTCTAATTGCGGGGATATCTAAAAAAGATGCTCCCCCTCTCATCCACATCAAAATATTTGTCAAGCTGGGCCCTGATGAGGGATGGGAATGGTTGAATACGTCTGCCCGTACGCAAGTAAGCAACTGGCCAACAATTGTATCGAGCTACAGGCCCTTCTCATAAGATGTTGTAAGCTACGGGCCAAAAAATGTCCGACGAAGCTTAAAGAAGACATAAAGAGATAACTCAGAAGGGGGCCAACAAGCCCCTTTAAAGCAAATGCCTGTGAGAAGCCTTAGAAGTTACAGGACATAGAAGCAGGCCTAAGTAGCACCTAAGAAGCTGGTCAAGAAGTGGATTGAATCTTTTCCAGTCTAGAGACTGGAGGATTACCCTCGAAAGAAAGGATTCAAATCTTCCTTCTGCTTTGAACAAGATAAGTGGACAGATGAGTTGAATAATACAGGGACAAATAAGCTAGGCGAGGTTCCCCTTTAATATCTCCCAACCTAAAGGTTTATTCAGAGGTGGGTCTTTCAACCGCCTACTCTTTCAATGAAGGGTGCACTACAAGACCATCGGTACTAAAAAGAGAAAATGGGGGGGTTTCGTTGATATTGAGTCGACTATAAACTACTCATCTTGCTTGGAACCGTCGTTGTGTATGGGAAAGAGGGGTTCTACCTATGCTTGGAAAAGGGTGAATGGTCCCAAAAGGGACGGGATAAAACCCACTAGAAAGAACGGGGGGTCATCCACTCCGTCGTTGGGTAGTCAACTTTATCCGTGACTCTGAGTACAAGATTTCCGGGATCAAGAAACTAGCAAACAAATATGCTCGGCTGGAATCTTTTCTCGTATGCCCGGA